ATAGAATTAGCAGTCAAAATTCTTCAACGCCTGAAAACGCGATTTCTGATCCGAATTTTCCGATCAGTGATCAGATCAGCAGACAATAGCATTTGATTAAGGGTTAGAAAATGCTTCTGGCGGTCTTATTTTCCAACTCTGACGGCAACATCCTCGTCGAACGGTAACATACTCATTTCTTCCCGTAAAATATTACTTTGAGAATTTCCTGTTTGAATCGATGCGTTTTCTATTAAATTTATTTATTGCTTATGGTATCTGTTTCATAAGATCTGCTGATCTCTAGTTTATTGTTTTTTGGGGCTTTGTTCTGTTTGATTGGAAATCATTCAGGAAGAAGCTCAATTTTGCATTCCATTAAATTGATGCTTCTCCATATCACATATTAGCCTGAGTTCCTTTTAATTTTTATAATGAGGTGTCTTGGGACTGATTGGGCGCCCCTCCACTAATTCCATGTGATGCCTCCCTCTCCTAAGCACCTCGACTAATTCCATCGGATGCCTCGCTCTCCAACCACCAAGGCTAAGATATAGGAGAAGAAATCATCTAGTATTTTTCGCAAATGTTTTCAACCTATGGTCACCACTAGGCTACATCCTTGGGTGCATTAAGTTCCTCTTAGCATACCACAAGTGGAGGAAGAAAGAGGAAAACATTTAATGAAGAGAATAAAGAACGAGCAAAAGAAATCTTCTGTATGAAATTTGTTTCTTTTGCTCTGTGTGTGTTGAAGTTGATTTCCTCCATACTCTAGAGTTTTTATGACTTGAGGGGTGGCTTTTGATAAACACCTATGATTACTAGTCTACTACAATGCGACTCCATTCTAAGCTAGTTGAATTGTGGTTGGTTATAGAGATCCTTAATATCCATTTTGACTTGTAACATCCAATAACTCCATAATTTAGACTTCTTCGACACTAGATTCTCTTCATTCTCTACCGACTAAATTAAGTCCCAGCAAACACTGAACTAATAAATGGACTTTCTGTTATTGTCTATAAGAATCATTTCAGACATTTTTCTCAATGTAATTTTAGGTATACTCTAGGCCCTTTAAGCACCTTCCGTTTTCATGGTATGCTACCTACCAACTCATACATACAGAGGTCTTCATATGGCATGACCAGACCAATCTAAGGAACCATTTATCATCATCTCCTATGTGTGCTACTTGTCCTTCTATTTGTGGTGATCATTTTAGTACTGTCTAATTTTCTATAGTCGTCATCCATCTTGTAGTCGCATTCTATGTTCATCTTGTGTAAGGCCCAATATTTACTCTCATATATAATCACTGGTCTTACCGCCATTTTAAAAAGCTACTCATCACTTTGATGTTCATCATCCTATTTCATAGTACTAATACTAATGTACACTCTTAAAAAAAATACTAATGTTGCGCTCATCTATTTTGACTATCATGTATTGATGCTATGTATGAAATATTCATCTATTGTGTCATTTTTCTGAAATTAAGTGAGTCCAAAAATTTGAAACATTAGATCATGTACTAAAATCTGAAGATTTCCATTATCTTTTTTCAATTTGTAGCACTAAGGGTTCATGGCATCAATATACATATAGGACAGTGCCTTTTCTTCTTTTGTTTTTTAATGGAATAATCCCTTTACTGAGATAATTATTCTATTGTTCCTTCAATCAAAGTTTCTCCAGTGGTAATGGAGCTTTTATTTTTTGTACAGAAAACAACTTTTTAGTCTTTCTTTTGCAGGCAGGAATGACCTCTTTTAATCTTTTCTCTTGCAGTTTTAATGGAGTACCAGCAGAGGAGCGTCTGCATTGGAGGTCTTTCCTAGTTAAGCTGGGTGCGGAGAATCTTAGAGGGATTAAGAATGAAGAACTCCTAGTGGCTTGCCACAAGTATGTGAATTTGTTTTTGTGGTTACTTTGACAAACATTCCTGACCAATGGTAATAACATAATAAATAAAAACAACTGTGAATTGGAGGTGAGGAGGGAGGGATGAACAAAATTGCTTGCTTCCAAGTTTCCTCCTTTGTAGTGTTTGGAACTGAATTTATATCATTGTCTGCTTGCTTCTGGAAAGCACTCTCCTTTCAGCTGAACCTTAATAGAAGATTATTGTATTTAAGGGTGGTTTGCTAACAATTAGGACTGTTTTTATCTGTAGTATTTTCACAAACTTATTATCTGCAGGTCTGTTTACATTGTATACACAATACTTGGAGATGTCAGCATCTATGTTGTAGGAAAGGATGCGTATGATGAACTTGCATGTAAGTGTATCACATACACTTAAAGTCATTAGCCTTTATGTTTAAACAAAAAAATAGAAGTTTTCCTGATGCATTGTACAGTTTTTTAAGGCCTCATTAGCAATTAATTTGTGTTGGAAAGTCACTTTAAATTGTGTTGTCTTCTTCTCATATGTATAAGCTTTATTTGGACATGTTGTTTATGCCGTCTTCATGTAGCTTAAAGCAATGCTTTTGGCAATTTATTTAGGTGGTTGAGTTGAGGAACGCAAACTTGTTCTGATCTTAATTATGTGAACGCCAATGCCTTTGCAAACTTTGTAGTTACTGAATGTTCCAAACTAATTTGATTTCATGATTTGAGATGTTGCCATTTAACTTTCAAATAAATCATCATTTCTTTTGTGTGCATTAAAAGAAAATCTCTAAATATTAGTCAACTTACTAAGTATCTAAAGGCGTATTTAGCGGGCAAAGAAGAGGGACTAATACTGTCGAAGATAAGGTTTCAAATTAAGCCGAGTTAAAAATTAGGTGGTTTGTTTTCATCTGCCTGTGACTTGGCAGATACAGTTTTCTAAGTAGCAGGTATCCGGTGGAATAGTCGAGGTGTGGACGTGTTGCCCGGATAGCACCATGATAAAAAATAAACTGAATTACTCAACTTACTAAATAGTTTTATCCTAATAGTTTTCCTACCATTGTTTTGACTCTATCATGTATTGGAGTTATTATCCAAGATCTACTCTAGAAGAGTGTGTATACCTAATTATAAATGATTCGAGTTTTCTGCAATCAAAACGTAATGTGCAGCTTACTTTTAGTTTGTGCACCTAATTGCATCATGGTGTTCATTCCACGAAAAAGAGATTTTCAATCTGAAGCTTATTTGATGTCCTTCGATACGTTAGTGTAGATTACATAAGTGAGCTGATTTTTCTTATACTTGAGGTGTTCTATTCTCTAGAAGGGAAAAGCAACCACCAACTCTACCACATTAGCTTAGATGACAAATCCCATTGTAGCTTCCATTATAGGAACCACAAAATCTACTTGTCTGCCAATGTTTTTACGGAAACTTCCATCAGTGAGGTTATGTGGTCTTCCCTTAAGTTGTGTGGTGTCTTGTCAGCGGGGATTATCTAGGTAACTTTTCTATATGTTGGGATGTCTGTTCTACACTTGTATATAGCATCATCAAACTTGTCTTTCCATTGTTTTTTATAGACTTTTTGGCTTTATTTGCAGTGTCTGAAGCAATCTTTGTTATAACATCTGCGATCAAGGATGTATGTGGAAAACCTCCAACGGAGAGACTTTTCCTGGATAAGTATGGAAAGATTTGCTTGTGCCTGGATGAGATTGTGTGGACGGTAAGATAAAATGTCTCTGTGTTGTAACATAAAACAATTTCACATGCTTGAAACTCTCCATCTTCTCAAGTATTACATTGTTATGAAATTCTTAAAGCTGTTAACATGCTGCTGTCTGGATAATGATATTATTCCGCTTTTTGTATTTTGAAGGGGTTGCTTGAAAACATTGACAAAGATAGAATCAAGAGACTTGTTAGGTTGAAACCACCAACAGAATTCTGATGAAGATTTTTTATGCAAAGCTCCTGGGACTCAAGCTGCACTCTGTACGTCAAGTATAGTTTTAATGCATGTTTTGTATCTTCATTTGGCTTATGGATTGTCTGTTAGTAAGTTTATTAGCAGGTTTTAGCACTTAAATTTGATTTATTTACTTGGCCAGATAAGAAAAATCACTCCCCATAACCTTTGAAAAGTGGAGAAGGGATGAATGGATTCCTATTCCTTCTCTACATTCTTCGACTTGTTTGAGGATTGTATCTCTATATTACCCTTCCAGTTGAACGGAATATGGTTCCCGACCTCTGAATTTGTGCGTTTTGCCTTAGCTTATATGTCAATGTCCAGCAATAAATTACTGTGGGTGCCGCCTACTACTTCCCTCTCTCACCTGCCTCCCCTAATAAAATCAAGGAAAAATTCAGCACCAAAACGCTATGGATTTTACCAAAACTTCTTTCATCTACACAAAATAGATTAAAAGTTGTGCTAGCCACAGCTTGTTCTGAAATTTTAATATATCATCAATTTTGAATCTAATCAGAAATTTCTGAAAGAACATGCTTGAAGTCTAAACCAGGAAGTAGAGTTTAGATAAGGACTATTTTGTATTTATTTTAAAGAATTGACACAAGGAACCGCAGCTCCAGCTACCAAACAAGCCATCCCTATCAGATAAAACACATCCGAAACTTTTTTTATTGGATTTGAATAGAATGTCCATATACTTGCTCACTAAGATACATAAAGCCACGAATAAGCCAATACTGTGTCCAAACTCTAAAATATAGTCTACTACTCTTCCTTACCATGCGGTAAGTAATTATTCGTGAAATTTCACCGATAAAGTTTGAAAAAGATAGAGTGTATGTAAATTTTTTTTTTTTAACCTCCGTGCTGTATTTGATAGGGTGTATGTAAACTTTTTACCCTAAATCTGGCACCTGCATTTTATATATTTTGCATATTTATACCTCATTCATAAGGTATATTTTTCAATGCTTAAATTTAAATATTTTTTTGCATGCCAAACACGTTTGTACTATTTGCAGCACCAGCCATCCGTTTTACCTGCCACCTGATACCTTCTGTCTACGCTCATTAGACACGGAATGACGAACATACCCTTTCCTTATTATCTAAACATAAGTCGTGTGCCGTTCGAAGTTTTGCCACAAATTAGTAAACGCCGATTGCCATATCATATTCCAAAAACTGGTTAAACAAGTTTACCTAACAGAGGGTTCTCGATGTCACCAGCCATGACCAGCCGGCCGGTGATGCTCTTTCTTCTCGTTATCACCGTCGCTTCCATAACTTCCGGTGTCCAAGCATCAAGATCCATCGTGTTCTTGCCCCAGCCTTTGTCATCCCTCGATATAATCAACACCACTCTGCACCAGGTACGATTCAGTCATTTCTTCTCCTTTTTTGGTTCCGCAATATCAAGTTCAGAAAATTTGATATTCAATTAATTAACCAAACAATATGTTTTGAGCACGGATTAATCTGAATATTTTAGGGACAAAATGCACGCTGTTCATTTACGGTAAGCATAAGGACAAGCTGCTCTTCTCCAGCTTACACTAGAGACCAAATTAGTTTAGCCTTTGGCGATGCTTATGGAAATCAGGTAACTAATACCGATTCTCATACCGCTTTAAGCTCCAATTTGTTTTAATTTCACTGTTCAATTGTCCAATACGGATCGGAATACCATTTTTTTCCCCAGGTTTATGCACCGCGGATAGATGACCCGGCAAGCAGGGCTTTTGAGCGGTGTTCGAAGGATACATATACGGTATACGGTCCATGTACGTATCAGATCTGTTATGCGTACCTGTACAGGAGCGGATACGATGGATGGATACCGTATGATGTTACCATCTACGGCTACAACTCGAAAGCCGTCACCTTCATCTACAATGTTGCCATCCCGGGAAACACTTGGTACGGCCACAATTACTGCCGTTCACGGGCTGTGAAATCTGCCGGAAACTTGGGCTGGAGTTTGCTTTCTGTTGGTTCCACTATGTTGTATACAATTGCTGGGCTATTTCGTGGTTAGAGTTTATGGGCCTTTTGGTTGTTTTGTCTGAATTGGGCCTTGCGTTGAAAGCCTGCCTAGTTTTATGGGATTTGTAGGTTGGCTTGACCAATTTCTTTTTGGGTTATTCACGTGTTGTTTTAATAAATAAATGAAGTGAATGCTAATGCCACTTGCACTTAGGTTTTGGTATGGTAAGTTAGTTACTTTGGTATATAACATTGTTAAAATGCAAGACGAATATTCGAGATTCGATTCGAAGTTAGATTTCTCAATGACGATGTGATTAAATAAAGGTGTGTTTTCATTTAGTTAAAATTTACAAATGAAATTTTCACATTGGTACAAGACTATAAGTAGATCTAGGCTAAGTATTAGATATCATTATCAAATGTGATCAGATCAAATGGATTATTACATGACATAAGACTTTTTGTTGTTGTTTAAAGATAGATTTAACGATATGACTTAATAAAACTTAAAAGTAACAATTAACGACACAATACAATAATCAACAAGTCAATAACCATCCAAGCAAGCTAAAAACTCAATCAGATTTTTTTCATTAAAAAAATGTTATCAATTCCGTTAACCGAATCAGCAAGCAGATCTACTTTAGGAAATAATTCTTGATATTTTTTTAATTCCTTCTAAAATAATCTTTGTAGTCCAAATCCAATGTAAAGTCAGATTTCTAGTAATTTTTAAATAAGGCTGCTAATTTATTACTACTGTAGTATTATTAAAATACCAAATTATAAGAAGTGAACAAAATCAGATAATTCTACCTGCCTTAGCCTTGAGCCAAACTTTTCCTATCTATCCAACGTGGTTGAATATTTTTTTGTAAGCAGGAAAACTTGGTGAAATTTGAACCAAATGGAATTACAATAAGTAGGTCGCAATGTCAATATAGTTTAAAACATCAATCTAGTGGATAATATAGGTTAATCATTATTGTTGGTATTTATAATCCCAAAATGCAATATCAATATAGCAGGTAATATAGGTTAAAATATCAATCTAGTGGATAATATAGGTTAATCATTATTGCTGGTATTTATAATCCTATTTATTTTTGGTTGCTTGCCTTTCGATTGAAGTGATAAAGGAGGATCGATTACCGTACCACTATTTAAATTAATATATATAACTCTTGTCCCATTTTATAATGGGAGAGAGTTTGACTCCGACGGTCTAGGAAAGAAATGAAGACTTTTAAAATTTGTGATCTAAAATGAATAAATAAAAATTTATGTGCCTATAAATTATTTTATTAAGGGAAAAATAGATATTTTAAAGTTAAATTGTTACTTAATATAGGAATGTTTCATTCTTTTTAAGTTAGACTGATGGAGTAATAAGTTTCCTCGAATTTATATAGTACGTACAATAAGTATTTTCTTTTCTTTTGTAGACTTTGAACGCAACTAAAAAATCCAAATAATAATACTTGCGTAATTCGTATTATTTGCTTCGATCGACGAGAAAAAGTGAGAGATCCAAGAGGATTAAAGCAACTTGATCTATTAAAAAGAAACCGTTAGTCAAATATATGTATTTAGTTTATATGAAAATTCAATAAAATGATACTGGTAAAAGGTGGACGAATTTTATATCTCATATTTTCGATCCTTTTTATGTGACACTATTACTACTATTTGAAGAATCTAATGAATTTTTTATTAATCGTGTTTAATTTCTTTGAATATGTAAATTTACATTAAAATTAGTTGGTTTAATTGTGTTTCGTAAAATGGAACGGATGGAGTAGTTGTTTTGATAAAAAAAAATGTTTGCTAGTTATTGTGATTTGTAACTTACATCTTAAGTAGTGCAGGGAATCATGGCTTTTTATTATTCTATGCTTTATTTATATTATATATATAAGTAGAAGATTTAGACATTCTTACCAATGCATGGTTCTTGTACTACCTAGATCATGATGATTAGTAATTCGCAGTTTTACTTGGTAACTTTCTTGGTTTTGTTGTGCATAGTTTCTTCTGTACGGAGTGCTGATATTAAAACTTTCAATGTCATCGATTTTGGGGCTGTCGGAGATGGAAGAACTGATGATCTCCCGGTACATTAAAATTTATTTTTATTTTATTTGTCTTACGCAAAGATTCGAGTAGGAAGCCACTCTGATTGTTAAAAAATATTGTGTGAATCAATGGCCTAGATGAATTCATACTATACTTGATCTTAGCCCAAAAGGCAAAGATAAAGGTATACACAAACATTTATTTCTTAAATTTTCTTGTTCTTTTATACCATATACTTGAGAATTCAATTTGATCATGTATATATATATATATATATATATATATATATATAT